TTCCCTGTAAAAAACAATTGCCTGATATTTGAGTTAAAAAATATTCCCGAGCCCTGGCCCTGCTGCAGCACACAGCACCCTTTTTGGGGCTGATGGGTTTTGTCTGTTGATAAGAGGAGTGTGTTGAATAGCCACAGTGTTTGCTAAGCTGAGAGGAGCCAAATGTATTGAAGCTTCATTGTTCTCGGTACCATGGGTGAGGAAAACAGAAGATGGATAAGTACAGCTGATGGCTGTACTGCCCAAGATGGCTTGGACATTTTCCTAGGGATTGTAGATTTGATTTCTTCCTTTGGTGGGATTGGTCTGCATTTGGCAGCATCAGACTTCATTGGCTACATAAGAATACAGCCACGCTTATTGTTTCTCTAGGTATCAAACAGTGGACCATAAAGGTTCAAATCATGAATCCATTAAAAAATACGTCTCTCATTCGCAAGCTCACAGTGTTTTGTTCACGAGAGTCTCAGTCAAAAGCAGAGGGCACAGAGCTAAGACAGCTGTCAAAGTCCAGTTAGACCAAAATAGAGTTGGTAATAGCAGAACTTGAACTTCATTGAGAAAATGACTGTCAGATCAGCAAAGAAATGAGTACAAGATGAGGAATCTGGTTTGTCATTCGTTACAAAGGAAGCTGAGGTTTTTTTTCTGTTCTGTGACATTTTCTCTGTGTGTAGAAAAATATTGAGTATTGAATTTAATCCTGTGTGTTTCTTCAGCTTTGTCAGGGTTGTTGAATTTCTTCTGTTTGCTTTCAGAAATTCCAAAGTTTCTATCTAAAATTCCTAAGTTTCTATCTAAATTTCTGTAATATCTAGTCCTGGATTGGCATTTAGAGATGCAAGATGTGTGCTGGATGCTCTCTCAGTCATAGATGCAGGAATGTACAATGTACTCTGTGTGAAAGACCTCACACGCAAGGCTAGAATAGAAATGTCCTTTCTACTGAGGAGAGGTTGTCATGTTTCTTAAAAGGCCAATTTTTCAGGCTTTGTTCTTATTTAAACATTACTCCAGCAGCTAGGAGCCTGCTCTAACTTGAAGCCTGTGTATTTAGAACCAGTTTCCACCCATTTCCTCCCAACTTACTCAAGTATTGCCCTTCAGCTAAGGAGCTTTTCCTCTCAAATCCATAGTGTCTTTTCTGAATCACATAAAACGTCCTTGTGTGACAGCGCCTTCAGTGCTCCACCAGTGCTTCCCTTCATCCATCCCAGCCCGGGTTTGCCTGGGCTCGATGTTCAAGGAAGATTAAGGCCACGTGTGATGTCACTAATGCTTCCTTAGCGCATTGGAAACAACTCCTGATGCATCCCTCAGCCACATTTGCCTTTCACATGACTGCATCACGCTGTCTGCCGTGGGTGCCTGTGGTTTGCCAGCACAACCAGCCCTTTCTGCTCCTTTGCTGCTGCTGACTGCCAAGTTAACCATTGATCAGGCTTTCCTTTCAAGCACCATTTTTATTTTCTTACTAATCTGTTTTGTACTGCTGTACTCATCCTGCTGCTTCTACTCAAAGCCTCAAGTATATTTATTTCTTCGTGATCTCTGTAAAATGATTTTGTTAGTACAGTTTTACACAGTAGAATAGTTTTTTTTTGTAGGCTCTGCTTTTAAAATCCTCTTGAGGAGGACATCTTTCCCCTTTTTGTGAGGTTCTTGAAATAGTAGCATCTTTCCTTAAAAATGTTTTGTCACATTGAAGTGGTCATAGGCAGTGATTTAAGATTCCTGGAACTGAATTGCTCAAGCAGATGTTTTAAAACATCTGAAAATAAGGGTGTTCAGAACTTGTTTCCTTGAGGAGCTGCTGTTAGCTGCAATATGAACCAAAGGTCTCTGTCAAGAGCTGCGTTTAACAGACAAACCAAAACAAGTATTTACATTAGAAAAGAAGATTAAATATTTTCTTTGTTCACTGCTTTTGCTCTTGTGACTTGTAAAGCCTGCATTTCATCAAGAAATACAGCACTTTGCTCCCCACTACCTGTGAAAGTCAGTTTGAGGAGAGATCAGTTTATTCTTTGTCTTTAAGTGTAAATTATAATAAGGGCCAGTTGAAGCAAATTTGATACATCCAAAGCCACTGCTTAATTTTGCACCTTGCTGTCATTCCATTTCCTTATTGTGTATCTAAACCAAGTATTTTCTCTTCTGTACAAAAATCCTGTCCTGTGTGAGATTTAAGGCAGACGCTGCTTTTCCAGGACATCTGTTGTGCACAGATCTCTCCCTTCTGTGCTGTCTCCCTGCAAAATCTTCTGCCTTTGGAATTTGCTGTAGGAATCCTCTAGGTATTACCACAGTTGAGCTCCTCACCTGCTAATTCTTCCTCGGACTGCGCTGGCTTTTGACAAGGAATATTCCTTTTACTGTTTCAGAAGCAGAGCCAGTGTTTCAGAAGTGTTTTGTTTTCTGACCAATCCATTTTCTGTCATGCAGCCTGTTGGTATCTGCTTGCCTGCTTCCATTGCAAGCTCCAAGGAATACGTCCTTGGTTTTATAGGCTGTCGTAGGCATTATTAGCAATAGGAGGAGGAGAGCTGAAGAGAAAGGGGGAGTCACTGCAATTTCTGATTATTTCTTTTGTGTGATTTTGAGCAAGTCAATTCACTGCTCTGTATTTTTGGTTTTTTGCCTCATCTTTCACTTCTCTTGCCTGTTTTAGAGCTTCGCAGTCCAAGACGCTTATCTCTGGTGTACGTGCTTCTGCAGTAGGGCCTGCCTGAAGTGGATGATGGTTTTCAAAGCAAACATACTGCAAATAAAAAAGAAAATTGTTTCATTGGGCATGTATTATCCAAGGAGTTGTGTAGAGACCTGCTCAGTTTGACCCAGGTTCTAGAATATTCTTTGCTCCTATTTAGGCTAAGCCAAATTTTAACCCTTCACCTGGGAATTTGCAGACTGAAGTCCAGACTTTCCCAGAAGGGTAAAGTTTGTTTTTCAGTTGACTCTCATAGACAAAATCTATGCTGCAGCATCATCCAGTCCCAGTATTGCGATTTAGAATGTGGGAGGGCTGGTCATGACATGGACCTGAGCTAAATTCACTCACCTGTGCATATATAAAAACATTTCTTATTCCACCCCCCTGAAAAGATGTTATTTCAGTGCATATTTTCTGGGCAGGAACAACCCCAGGTTCCAGT